AAAAAAAAAAAAAAAAAAAAAAGAGGTTTATCTTCAGCAATAATATAACTTTGTTAAGACATTTGATTTTGACAGTCTTGCTTTTCTCTCCTACCTCAACCCCCACCAACTCTTAGCATTTCCTTGAGCTCTTTTGAGAAAAACCTGAAGGTTGGATGTGAATATTATGCTACATTTATAAATTCAGTTGAAAGCCCAGTGAGGTGGGAAATGTATACTCTTGAGACCTTATTTACTCTCTAACTCCTTCTGTTCTGAAAGCAAGTTATTCTTCCCAGCTTTAACCTTTACACCACTTTTGTACTATTCTTCCTGATGGCTGAACTACACTTCAGCAGGTGCTGCTGAAGGGAAAATAGTAGTGTTAAGCTAAAATGCTGAAAGGCAGGGGCGGAAAACCACAGCTAGCTCAAATCTGGATACTTGATAAGTAGTATTGTATTGCTTTCAAGTACAGGCTTTTTTAAGCTTTGAGGCAACCTGAACCTTTTGAATGTCAAAGTTAGGTTTATGGTATTAGCAGGTTATAAAGTTAATTTCTAAACTAAGTCATTCTTTTACTTCCTTAAGACCTCACAGAAATTCAGGGGGAGAATAAATTCTTTTTTTCCTAAATATAAATTTTGAAGCTTGACAAAATACACTGTATCCTTATTAATATTATTTTAATGGGTAACAACAGATTCCACAATTTGTGGGTACACACACTCAGGAGTGAAGCAGGATGTCTAGGAAAGGGTTATCATATTTAGCAAATAAAAAAAGGATACTCTCTTAAATCTGAATTTCAGATAAACATCAAATAATTTTTAGTATAAGTGTATCCCAAATATTTCATAAGGTATACGAAACATTATTTGGTATTTATATTGAAATTCAAATTTAACTGGGAGTCCCATATTTTAGTCTGGCAATTCTAATTTGAACAGACTCATTATGGTCCTATTTAGCACCCTACAATTCTCCCTTTTTATCCTTTTCATTGCCTCTCTTCCCCTTCTCACCCTCTGCCTGCCATTCTCTCTGCTTCCTCATTCTCTTCCCCATCTTCACCTTTATCTTTTATTCTCCACTATCTACAATTGACCATTTTTTGTGAAATATATCTATCCGGGTTATCTGAGGGTATGTATATGTACACATAACTTATTATTCCACTTCTTTAATTGCATATAATTCTTAAATTATTTTTCCTCCTGTGGGACATGAGCTCTAAATAGAAAAACAGTATGTCACTCCAACTTCTGAAATATTGTTTGACAATTTTCTAAAAAAAAAAAAAGAAAACAGAAAATTCACATCAATGCTAATACTCACAGTGATACAAAACTAGTTTCCACACCCCTTAAAAGAAGCTCTCATTTTCCTATGTTTCCCCTTAGGTACTATGGGCACTACAACTATGGACAGACTGACTACTGGCAGAAATGAACACCATGTGGTGAGAACTACTTTCTTCAAGAAACAAAAAAAAATCGTTTTAAGGGCTTGACTAGATAGTGGGTATAGATTTTTGGAATGCATTTCTTAACATATGTTCTAATTTAATATTTTAGTGATTTGCAAAGTGGGTGCTAGGGTATTCAATATTTTAGCTGTCCTTTTTCCTCTGTTTTTTTTTCCTGCCTTAGAGAATTCTGGGATCAAAGGTCTACACAGAACAACAAGGAGCTACAGGAAGTCAGCTTGATGATGCAGGAGGGAGGCTCTTTTTTCTGAGGTCACTGACAGATGAAGCGCTGAAGAATTAGAAGGCTTTCACTCCATTTGCTTTGGACAGATTTAAAGACTAGGTGCAGCCATTTGTGTTAATTAAAATCTCTCAAACCTTTGTTTTAGTGCTGTTTTCTCTCTATCCCACCACCAATCTGGGTGGAAATGTTGGATGTTTGGCCTTAAACATGTATGGAATGCAGTCATTTAGGGATTCTAAACAGCCTTTGATTATTTTGATAGTTTTGGGATTTGAAATGACCACATTATATAATATGTTTTTACTAAGCCTATAAAAAGGAGCGCCTCTCCACCTGTGAAGTACATAATTGTGGACAGATCTACCACTGGAAAATGAGCAACAGTAGGTACAAAATAAGTAAAATTATATGCCATAGACTTCTCTTATGCTCTCACCAAAAACATCAAACTGCCCTGTTGATTTTGCCCCGTTGTTATCTATTCCTTGAATTTCATCCACCTTCCTAGTATCGCTTTTTTTTTTTTTCCAGGCCCTCCTTCCTGCCTGGATTACCAAAACTTTTTAATTGGTTTCCCTGCTTCTAGTCCCTCTAATTCATCTTCCACAGTACCACTGAAGCTATCTTTTACAAAAGATAAATGAGATCATGTCACTCCCCTACTGGTTTCTTGCTGAAGTCTAAGCTCCTTCACAGACCATAAATGATCTCTCTCCTGCGTAGCTTCTCAGTCTCATCTTTCACTATGTCCCCCTTCTCTCATACATCCCACATTGGACTCCACAGAGAACAGAACTATTAATATTTACAGTTCTCCCGATGTATCATGAGTTCTATTAGCTTCATGTACAAAGTGGAAAGATACTTCTCTCCTGTATCCCTGTCCATTGCCTGTTTGTCTTAAGACTAAATTTGCTGCCTTTCTATCCCACTGATTCTCAATCATAGCTGTGTATTGGAATCCCCTTAAGAGCTTTGAAAAATAGCATTCTACTGGGTCCACCCCAGATAATTTAAATCATGGTAACCGAGTGATAGGGCAAAAGTATCACATTTTTAAAAAGCTCTTCAGGAAATTCTAATATGTAATCAGGTTTGAGACTCACTGCTAGGCTCTCTTACTTCTGTCATAGCAGTAAGTGAACTCTATCGCAATTATTGGTTTATTCAGCTACCTTTCTCACCAGATGGTGAGCTCTTTGAGGCCCATGATTCTATCTTGTTATCTTTTCATTTTGACAGCAAACACAGTGTCTAGCTTTTTATAGAGACTCCATAATTGATATGCATAAGGCCACAGAAAGCTGATTTCCAAGTCCCAGGTCTCTTGATGTCCTGCCTTGTGTACATTGCCAGTGGATTATATTGTAGTTCCTGAGATCTTCAGATATTTTCTTTTACTCTAAGTTGTCAGTAATTTCCTATCGTATGTCAGTATAGAAGAGTTGATTTGTCACAAAACACTTCATAATCCGTAGGAACCCGTATACTTTCTGGTAATAAGCAAAGTGAAGGAGCCAATTCAAAATCTTCTTTCTCTCAAGGTTAATTTAAATATTTAAAGATGCATTTTAAAGATGAATTTTAAAAAATGTACTTTTGCACTTGAGAAGGTTTACAATAAATCACAGAATTTTGGCATTAGAAGAAACTTTAAATAAGTATAAAGTTTCCTTCACTTTACAAAAAAGGAAACTGGAGTTCAGATACATTGAAAAGGTGTCTAAATTCCTACAGTTAATTGGGGCCAGAGCTGGTTACCAGAGCCTAGGTATTAATACTGCCAGTTCATATTCCAATCTAACTCATATCTTTCCTCTCTTAACCACAAAAATAATGGGCTCTAAAACGCTGAGATGATTACTTTCATATTCTACCAACAGAGTTAGTAGAGTATATAATTTACATTGTTTCAAGAAAGCCACCACTGTACTTATTTAGTCCCTGAGAGATTTTGGCAGTCCTGAGAGATTTTCCATCAATTGGATTAGACAGAGCAATGAGAACAAAAGATAGAAATATAAAATCTGAATGTACTACTGATTACCTTGAATAGTCAATTAACCTCAGTGCTTTAGGTTCCCAATTTTAAAACTGGATTAAAAGAGCAACATTTGAAGGTTTTTAAAGTATGGGGTTTTGTTTTTTTAAACCACTACAGTGAGTTTGGATTATTATATGACCTTTCTGCTCCCCTCCCCCCTTTTTTTGTTAACTACAACATGGAATAAAGTAGTTTACTTGGTAGCTTAGGTTGTAACTTCTTAAAAAGTGGATTATTTGCCATTGCCAAAGTATTTACATTTTATGCTCATTATCAGTCAGGCTTAACAACTTTCCCTCAAATCTTCCAAAGTTTTCAATTTTTTCAAAACACAAAACTGGGATAGCCTGTTATCCTACTTTGTCTTTAAGACTCATATTGGACAGGCAGTATAAAGTTTCAGTTAGATTGGATGGCTCCTCATGAGTGTCTGCATTTTGGTGAATCTAGGAAATGGATCTCAGCTTTGTGAATACAGACAAATTTATATGGTCAATTTATTCAAAAGGTCAGAGACTTATTCAAGCTACTGAAACTCCCAAGATATTAGCTGATAGTTTGGTGGGAATATGTCTATATTTAGGGTATTCCTATCTCCAAATCAAATTATAGGAAACTGAATTAGTAATCAAAAAGTATTTGGGATTGAAACATCATTATTATAGTTTTATTTGTGCTCATAATATTCCAATTATATTCATCTGAGAATAAAATCCCTGATAACCTTGACCATATATGGGCGATAATTTTCAATTTCAGGGTCAATTGAGGAAAAATCTGTCTCATCAGCAATATATTTATAAATCATAACTTTGGGTAGCCTGTTTTTGTGGCTTATCTCATTTATTTTATCTTGACTTTCTAGCTATGCAGAGGATATCTGCTAACATTTTACCCCAAAAAATTGCCTTTTTGCTTCGCCAGAAAGTGATTAGTAATGTTTGTCTCACTTCTTTCTTAAATGAAATAAGGGTAACAACAGCCTGATAATTTCATCTTTAGTCTAGAATTGCAATAATCAAAGAAGGAACTGACAATGCACATTCTGCCTTACACTTGTAGATGCAGGCAGAAAATCTAGTTTTAGTGTTGTTTATGTGAACAATGGCGACCTTAGGCTGTATCTCCTTTTATTGGTAGAGGCTTCTGTAATCTGTTGCAGGAATTGCTCACCAAGTAAAATCTCTTTTGGTCCCTCTGGCACTTTGGAAGGAGCCTGCATTGCTACCAACTCAAAGTCCCTATTGCTTCATATGTTTTGCATTTAGTCAACAAATATTAGGAAACGAGAAGAGCACAGGGTTCTGTGCTGGAAAGGGAGGCTTGCTTTCCAACCAATCAATTTCACAGCAGGAGATACACACGCAGATATAAATGAAATGTAATTATTACATGGTAAAATTGAGAATTTTCAGGACAACTAAAAAATCCATCTTCTCTACTTTTTTCACAAATTCACTTATAATTCCTAACATGAAAGTTACCTAAGGTTCATTTTATGTGTAAAACATGATACAAACATTCCTGAAACTATATTTCCTTCAATTATTAATCAACCTGGGGAAAATGAGATTACTTAGGTTAATAAAATAATTTTTGTTTTGTACATGCTTTTTAAGGAAACATATTTTTTCTGGGGATGCTGAGCTTTAAGATAAATTTTAGTTACATGGAAACCAGTTAACAATGTTAGAAAAGCATAATGCTTTTGATTTTTTAAAAGGTCCACTTAAACTCAATCCATGTCTGTTTTTAAGCTTGGAGCTATCTTTTCATGACATATATACTGAACCCTATAAACTGAAGGCATTGCAGACAGAGCCCTTTTAAGAAATCAAATAGTTTCTGGGGCACTTCATATTACTTTCCCATTTAGCAAATCTCATTTTCCTTTCCCATATCTAATAATGCCCTCCTCTTCTATTCTGTGTTCTACCTTTTTTTTTTTTTTTGGAGGGAGAAAAATTAGTGCTTGCTTTAGAAATCAAACTTTTTTTGTTCTTGGTTTTCTTCTTTTATCAGATATACAACCACATAAATGGAGACCTCCTACATTTGTAAATTGTCAGAACACACCTGGGAAGAACTTCTCTACCTTCTGAATATTAATATGTGACTGTGTAGGTGGAATTAAAGGTTTAAACTGGAGCCCTCAGGAAAGAATAACCTCTATAGCATAATGAAGAGAGAAAGGGGTTTGTAATTAGAGTTGAACTAACTGCTAAGCTGTTGAGGCCTTACCCTTAGATAAGATACCCAAATTCATCCTCCCTCAATCTCAGTCCATTTGGTAAAGGTGTAGCTGATCCCCATCCTTTGGACAAGTATGTGAGTAAGGCCTAATCAAACAGAAAATGCCACTCCCCTTGCCTTATAAGTGTTTTGGGGACTGGCACATGACATAAATCTATGATTCTCAGTTTTGGTTCTCCAGACTTTTTACATTCTTAAAAATTGAGGACTTTATGGAGCTTTTGCTTATGGAGATAATATGGTTTGGCTCTGTATCCCCACCCAAATCTCATCTTGAATCATATTCCCATAATTCCCAGGTGTTGTGGGTGGGACCCAATAAGAGCTAGTTGAATCATGGGGTGGTTTGATCCATACTATTCTCATGGTAGTGAATAAGTCTCATGAGGTCTGATGGTTTTATCAGGGATTTCAGCTTTTGCATCTTCCTCATTCTCTCTTTGCCTGCTGTCATCCACATAAGATGTGACTTGTTCCTCCTTGCCTTCCACCATGATTGTGAGGCTTCCCCAGCCACGTGGAACTGTGCATTCTCAATTAAACCTCTTTTATTGTAAATTGCCCAGTCTTAAGTATGTCTTTATAAGCAGGTATGAAAACAAACTAATTCATTAGGTTACATATATTCACATTTACTAGATTAAAAAATTTTATATATGCAAAATGTTTACTATAATGGGGTACTGATCTAAATTATACCCTAGAGCCAGACGCTGTGGCTCATACCTGTAAACACAGCTACTCGGGAGGCTGAAGCAGGAGGATATCTTGAGGTAAGGAGTTTGATACCAGCTTGGGCAACACAGAGAGACCCTATCTCTCTCTTAAAAAAATGTATGTATATATATTTGTGTGTGTATACACATACTATACACACACACACACACACACAACGTAGAGAAGCCAATGCCATCTTTGTTTTGCCATGTAGGAAGAGTCAAGGTGAGAATGAAGTCAACAAAGAAGAAAGCATAGCTGAAAGTGACATCATGATGACATAGTTTCAGACCCTGAATCTAGCCAATCCTGAAGCTATGCAGGTCCAGACTTGTTAGCTGCATAAGCCAATGAATTTCTTTTGGCTTCAACTAGAATCAGTTGCTTGCAACCAAATATGTCATCAGACATCTGTGTTTCCAATTGTGGACTTCAGGGATAGAGTAACTGAAACCAAGAAAAGCAAAACTGCAGATAAGGGAGGCCTTCTGTATACTTCATGCTACTGAATTGTACACTTTTAGATGGTTAAAATGGTAAATTTTATGTATGTGTATTTTACCATTTAAAAAATGGTACACTTTAAAAGCATTGAAAGCTTTGTTGCTTTTAATGTATTTTTTCCCCAAAGAAAGCTATATTATGGTCAAAATGAACTTTAAACTGGCTGAATTAGGCACTATTTTTTTTTCCCTAGGATTGGTGTAACTAATTCTGGTCTGAAAATAGGTGAGTACAATACAATAAGATATTTTAAGATATAGAGATGGGGGGGGAGAGAAAGAGAGAGAGAGAAAGAGAGACAGAGAGACACCACATAACTTTTATTACATAAAGTTACATTAACATAACTTTTATTACAGAACATTGTTATAATTGTTCTATTTTATTATCAGTTATTGCCATTAATCTCTTACTGTGACTACTATATAAATTAAACTTTATCATAGGTATGTACGTGTAGGAAAAAACATAGAGGAGAGTCTGGACCCAGAAAAGCCCAATGAGATTTTGCCTTGCTTATACTGAAATTGTGATTAACCACAGAAAAAATAAGAGTTAACTGGTGGGCTAAGTGTAAATATACCAGCACTGGAAAAAAAACTAACTTCAGGCTAGGTGCGGTGGCTCAAGCCTTTAATCCCAGCACTTTGGGAGGCTGAGGCCGGTGGATTACCTGAGGTCAGAAGTTCGAGACCAGCCTGGTCAACATGGTGAAACACTGCTTCTACTAAAATACAAAAATTAGCTGGGCATGGTAGCACATGCCTATAATCCCAGCTACTCAAGAAGCTGAGGCAGGAGAACTGCTTGAGCCCAGGAGACTGAGGTTGCAGTGAGCCAAGACTGTGCTACTGCACCCCAGCGTGGCTGACAGAACAAGAGTCTGTCTCAAAAAACAAACAAAAAACAAAAAAACTAACTTCCTTTCTACTAAAATATAAAGTTTTAACTCCATCATATCATAATGAAAGCCAGATGCTTACCTATTTTTTATGTTGTCTCAGAGGGTTAATAGAAATTCTTGCAGTTTTCATGCTGAAAACCCTAAGAATGGAAAGAATACATTCCTGGGCACTTCTAATTATTTACAAACAAACTCCCACCCCAAACCTCATCATACCCCACGTCCCATGTTTCCTAAGACACTTTATCAATATTTGGAAAATGGTACTCTCTCCTACCTTTCAGAAATTTTTCTTTGGCATAACATTTGATTCCAGGATGAATTCTGAAGAAATGTCACACTGTAACAAGAGTAATGGTATGTACATATTGTAATATTCATTCAATAACCAGCAGTAAAAGGTCACTCTAGACAGGAAAGTCACTGTGTCTTTCCTGTGTAAGTTTTGTCTGTAAAAGGTTGCTGAATTTGAAAACGATAAATACACTTAAGAAAAACTGTTGAAAGACAAGCATCTATTATAATGTGGTTCTATTATTTTTTAGAAATTTTAATACTTAGCAAAATATAATGAATATTAATAAACCTCCATATACTTTAGAACAGGGGTCCCCAAACCCTGGGCCGAAGACAGGTACCCGTCTATAGCCTGTTAGCAACCCTGCCACACAGCAGCCAGCAACCACTACCACCTGAGCTCTGCGTCCTGTCAGATCAGTGGCCATATTAGATTGTCACAGGAGCCTGAATCCTATCATGAACTGCAGATGCATGGGATCAATATCTGATGATTTGAGGTGTTCTAGAAGAGTTTCATCCTGAAACCATCACCCCTCCCCATCCCCATCCATGGAAAAACTGTCTTCCACAAAACAGGTCCCTGGTGCCAAAAAGGTTGGGGACTGCTTGCTGCTTTAGAAAGTTTAATTCATATCCACTCTTCCCACTTAAGTTTTCATGAATTTAACCATCACTCCTTTTGTGAATGCAAAGTTAGTCTCTCCTTCTCCATTATTGACTTGTGAAATGAAGTGCCAGTTTCCCTCTATGAATAATTATAGAATATTCTGATTAAAGGAGTGCTTACTCAGTCTACTACTATAAAAAAGGCCCAAATTTGTCTAAGGTCACAACCTGTTAGTGGACAGATTTAGACCTTATCTCTTTAAAAGCTCAAGATATTTTCTTTTCTTTCTTTTTTTTTTTTTTTTTTTTTTTTTTNGAGTCTGGGAGTCACGGTCTGTCGCTAGGCTGGAGTGTGCAGTGGCGCAATCTTGGCTCACTTTAACCTCCGCCTCCTGGGTTCAAGCAATTCTCGTGCCTTAGCCTCCCGAGTAGCTGGAACTACAGGCGTGCATCACCATGCCTGGCTAATTTTTTTGTATTTTAGTAGAGACAGGGTTTCACCATGTTGGCCAGAATGGTCTTGATTTTCTGACCTGGTGATTTACCTGCCTCGGCCTCCCAAACCGCTGTGATAACAGGTGCGAGCCACCATGCCCGGCCAAGCTCAAGATATTTTCTAATCATTTAGAGTGTATTGCAAAGAAAAGATAGGTTAGAAAGATAACAATATAACCAACTATTTGCTCTCCATGTTTAGTTTGAAAAAAAGGAAATAATTCTCTTGGAAATACTTTCTCATCTTTATCTCCCATTGAAACTAGTTAACAACCTGTTGGCCAACAGGATCTAAGGTGACAATAATGGGAAATGAGTTCATGACCTGGCTTAAATTTTTAATCACTGTCAAAAATACTAGCAACACACATACTAAAAAAAACAAAAGCAAAAAAATCCCCACCAATTTATTTTACTCACTTCGATTCCATCCATCATCTACTTTGAGTAGGTCCTATTATTTAAAATGAAATACATAAGCACATGAATCTTCAGGGGATGAGTAATTTCATTTCCCAATCGACCAATAAAAAACTCATGACTGGCCGAGTGCGGTGGCTCACGCCTGTAATCCCAGCATTTTGGGAGGCTGAGACGGACGGATCACAAGGTCAAGAGATCGAGGCCAACCAGGCCAAAATGATGAACCCCCTGTCTCTACTAAAAATACAAAAAAATCAGCTTGGCGTGGTGGCGTCTGCCTGTAATCCCAGCTACTCCGGAGGCTGAGGCAGGAGAATCATTTGAACCAGGTAGGTGGAGGCTGCAGTGAGCCAAGATTGCGCCACTGTACTGCAGCCTGGCGACAGAGTGAGACTCCGTCTCAAGAAAAACAAAACCAAAAAATTCATAACCATCAAAGTGACTTTGAGATTTCTGTACAAACACTGATATTACACATTTTTTAAATACTTCACTTTGCTTTTCACTTTTATGCCTCCAGGTTTACTACAGCTAAGAAAAAAATATATATACATGTGTGCACACACGTGCACACACACACGCATGTAACTTTTTAAAATTCAGAATTTGAAAGGTCCAAATAGTCACTAAGAAACTAACGTAGAATAGCCACAGGTGATTAAAAACATGTTTTATGAAAGGCACATGGAAAGAAATGGCAACAAAATCTATTTTCATGGTAATCTCACATTCCACGAATACTGAAATGAAAATCACCGCGTCAACGGACCGTGATTCAGGTGGAACGTATTCTCGTTTGCTAAGGAGATAGATGCTTTTCATCTAAAAGCAGCGCTCGTGACGAGGGAGCTTAAGGCCACAAAACCGTGGGACAGCAGGAGGAAGAAAAGCCAGGTATCTCCACTCCAGCTGCCCTGCCTCAGACTCCTAAGCTTCGCTTGTGAGGATCCTCTTGTAGGCTATGACTGGAGATGGAATCCTAAAGCACAGGTGAGGTGGAAATCCTCCTTCAAGGAGAGTCGACTGAGGAAGCCAGCGGCTAAGAATTGGCGGGACAGGATACCTCCCTCTTCGCCTACGGCGAGCTCTCATAGTAGCCGCCGTTCTGCCACCCACGCAGCTTTCTAAGCCACCTCTAGGTTCCCCAGCGCCTTCAGTGGGGCGGCCGGCCGCACCCGAGGGCTGCAAGAGGAGACTCGAAGTGCTGAGCCAGCCTCGCTCCCCCGAGGTCCGCTCTTAGAAGGCCTGCCCGCCGGCGAGAGCCAGCCCAAGGCTCAGACAACCAACGAGGCGCCAGGCTCGGCAGGGGATTGCTTTTGTCTGGGGCCCGGCCGAGGTTACGTCCGTGCCTCGCGCGCACCCGCTCCGCGTTCACTCAGCCAATCCGACGCTACTCGCGCGCTCAAGAGCGGTCCGTGGTCCTACTCAGGCTGGGCCGCCTCCTTCCCGCTCCCAGCACTCAGCACCCGAGTTCTCACTCCTCCCCTCACTCTCCACGAGTTCCACGCCTCTGGGTGTAGCTCCGCCCCTGTCCCCGAGTCCGCCCCCGCAACCTCCAGAGCGTGTGCTCTCCTTTCCTCTCAGTCCTGCCATCTAGCTGCCTTGGGTCTCCCGCTCCGCAGAACGGCCCCACTCTCTCCTGCCTGGTTCTGCCGCCTCCGCGCGCTCTCCCCGTGAGGCCACCGCGCCCCCCATTCCCAACTTGCCTCCTTCTCGCTGGACTGGGGGTCGCGTGTCTTGACTCCGCCCCCTCCCGCGGACCCGCGCACTCCCGGCGCGGCCTCTCCCCCACGCAGGCCACCAAGCATTCTGCGGCCTCCCCCTCCTTCCCCACTCTCCTCTCGCTCTCCTCGGCGAGCGCGCTCCCGGCCCGCGCGCTCCGGGCTCCGGTTTCTCCCGGCTCCTGTCAGTGCGGTGACTGCGCTGGGAAACATGGCGACCGAGGGAATGATCCTCACTAACCACGACCATCAAATCCGTGTCGGAGTCCTCACAGGTAACCGGGGGAGGTGGTTCGGGACCGCTGAGGCTGCTGTCCCTGACTTGCCGTAGGCTTTTCGCCTGTGGTGGCCCTTCTCTGCGGCCTCGGGAGGAGGGAAAGCTGAAGAAGGGAACCGCGGGGGTGCATTTTACAACCGCTGAGATTGTGGGTGTTCCCGCGGGTCCCCCTCCCAGCCCCCCAGGAGCCTAGGTCGACTCCGTGGGATGTCAGGCCCCAGCGCCTTCTCAGACGAAGTCCCTGGCTCCCGGAGACCGAGGGGCCGGTGCGGAGGGCGCTGCGGGGCTCCGCACTCTCGGTGCAGGCGGCGGGATCCCGGCTCCGCAGTCTGAAGCACGCCGCTCTCGGCTGGCCGGGGCGCCTCCTCCGCTAATGCTCTTTTGGCAGAGGGGGGAATCCCATTTCCACCTCCTTCCTCCCCTTCCCCCCACCCGGGCGGCCCCACACCACTAGCTGTGCTTGCCCGGACGCGACTCAGGTGTTAATCCGATGAAACTGCTCCTCCTCGGGTTGTCCCTCGCGGGCCGGGCATCCCCTCAGCCACCCTTGGGGCACCCTTCGCCTCCCTCGGGGGATTGGGGATCAGCTTGCGTCCGGACGTCGGAAAGAGTCTGCATTCTGTCTTTCTGAGCAAAGGGGCCCTCTGTCTGCCTCGTCGTTTCCTTAACGAAGACTGGCTGCAGCCTGCGGCCGGGGATCCAGCTCGTTTTACTTGAGAGGGAAGGATTCCCCTACTCGGGCTTCTCTCCCCCTCCCTTCTGGGAACCCCCACCCCGTTGGAGCGTCCCGAGGCTGCTGAGGAGCGCACCTTTCCTGGGTCGCGTTTCCCTCCCTCGCGGAAGCGGTGTGTGCTCTGCATGTCTGATTCTGTTGCGCTGAATTTGGCTAATATCCGTCACTTCGGCAATCGGCAGTTGCTGCAGGGCATGACTTCCAAGATGAACAGCGAGCCGATTTGTAGGGGTTTCAGCTGTGGTTCTGTTGTTGGCAAGGTTTATGTGTAATTGAGTGGCGAGGCGGGGGTTAAAGAACTATATTTGGAATCCGAGGGCTTACTTTGGAGTGAAGGAAATCCAGGACTCGATGTGATTTCGGAAAAAGAAGCAATGTGGACGGGAATCCTAGTGTTTCCCTTACTTCTTTTTTTAATTTTTTTTTAACTGTCAGATTCTGACAGGTTGAGACGGTGCTCGAGAAGGGACTAAATTGAATAAGACTTGCTTTTATTATTAGGCAGAAAAAAATGTTTGAGACTGCCGGTAGATACTGAGTGAAAAGGTTAATTTAGCTGCTGAATTTTATGAAAAGGGGCTATCCAGTGGCCCTTTTTCTCTTTTTTAAGTAAAGGATTGCCTTTCCCTGGTATTCTTTCGGTATGTCGATGGCTATTAATTGAATTTTCCTAATCAAAAGACCCTGAGATTGAGAAACTAGTCTAAACCAGTTGCAGAAAAGGGAACCCCCAAATCCGAAGATGCGCTGTTCTCTTCTTTTGGTCCTGAAACTGTTTGATTATGTGAAGATTCAGTTGTAGTTTAGAATTTCTGGAGCTGATATTGCCAATTTTCGAGTAATCTGATGGCGGGATGTGAAAGAGTATATCCTTTATCAACTTGCGCTTTAAGTTCTAGCCTTTTTTTTTTTTTTTTTTTTTTTGACAATTAATAGAGTAGTGAGAAACCAAAATATGTCAGCTGTCTGTAGAAATATAGGCCATAGCTGTTTAAAAGTTAAACCGTGGAAATATTTTTTAAATGAACATTTTTTACTTAAGCTTTCACATTAAATATTAGTTTCATTTAATGAATCATCTTTGTGAAGTGGCATAGCAGATAGGTGTTGTACAGACTGCTTTGAAACATGCAGCCCTATCTGGTATCCTTATGGTCTAATGTGGATAACATTGATATGCAAACAAGTGAAGAAACATTGTATGTAATTATTGTACAAAAATTTTCTAAATATGTTACCTATGAGTTTGGGGCTAACTGCAAAAGAAATTCCATATTTAGATGGATTAGGGGCGAATATGACTACCCGAAGGTAGAATTCAGTACATTATTAGAGTCAAGAAGAAACTAGCAATTTTAAGGGGAGTTGAAAGCCAGCATCCACCTTATACATAAATATGTATTTGATATGAGGCTCCTGAGCAGAATAAAAATGCAATGTAAAGGCTTTGAAAAGCTCAGGTGGAGTAGGTAGGTGGCATAGGTAAAATGTCAGAGAGAAGATAATAATTAACATTGACAGTGGAATTAAAGGCAATCAGGGGAAGCTATCTTATGAGAATGAGGTATAGTTGTCTAGGGGGAAAAGTCTAGGGCCAGGAACAAGGTTGTAGCTGAAGGAATGAAAAGGCAGCTGCAGATTTGGAAAAAGTGATAATAGCGGAAAATAGGTTTTGATGATAACATGAATATTTGAAGTCAGAAATAACTCAGGCTTTTTCTTGAAAAGTTATTGATACAGATATTGTCTACTATGATGGAGAGGAAATAACATTGATTTTTCTCAGTCTGTAACTAATGGGTTTCATTATCAGCAGCTTAGTTTCTGTGGTCTTGCCTGATACACCATATGATTTGGGGGAAATAACTTACAAAAATGAAGCTGTATTATACAATTTTGTGTATTCTAGAACTTCAAGTGTTGTGGTTTTACCATGTAGAATTATTCTTTACTGAACTCAAGTACTGTGATTTCATACTAAAGAAAGTTGTGTTGAATTGTAGTTTTGGTGAATTATAACTTGTGACTCTCTTAAAAGGTGGAGGGCCTCTTTTAAAAAATCTCCTTGCATCATAATACTACTTTGAAGTATTTTATCTACATCTATTTTACAAAGATAGCGGAAAGTGTGATCTACCCACACACACATTTTTACAATATGTTACTTAGTATTTTGTGAAATCATATTATTTCTAAAGATTTAATTGACTTCTTTGTGACATTTTTTATTACCTGTTGAAAAACACTTGTACTTTGAAACTTTTCCTCCTTTAGATGATTTTGTTACTTTGAAACTTTTCATCCTTTAGATGTTTTGTTATCTTCATTTCAGTTATGAATTTGCCAAATTTGCCTCAGTCTGTTGAGACTTCCTATCAAATGAATTAACTGTATTAGGTTTATGAAAGAAGTGGTAGAAAGGGAAATATTTAGCAGAAACATTTTTTTTTTGCTTCATTATTTTGATTTTTTTTTTTTTTTTTTTTTTTTTTTTTTTTTTTTTTTTTTTTTTTTTTTTTTTTTTTTTTTTT